TTGGGGCCTGTTGGGGGCTTCCTGGGGCCTCCTGAGAGCCTCTCGGGGTGGGAGTTTCGGTTCGTGTTACCCCTTGGCTCCGTATTGAGGCCGTCTTGGGGCCCTATCGGGCCGTCTTGGGCGCTTCTGGCGCCGTCTTGGGGCCCTCTTGGGCTGTCTTGTTGCCGCCTCCGAGGCCTCCAGAGATATCTTGGAGCGGACATTGAGGCCTCTTGGGCCGTCGTGGAGCGTCGGGAAATCGAAAAGGCGAGAACCCCAAAATCCTTCAACAAAAAACCAAAGGGAACTAAGTCACTTGTGCCTCCTGGGGCTCCTTGGGGGGCATCTCGAAGGCCTCTGGGGCCTCTTGGAGGCCCCTTGGACAATCAGGGGCTAATTCTGGGATGATCTCGGGCCGTCATTAATGAGTCGTTTTCGCGGCCTGGAAACGCCATTTCTGGCGTTCTGGGCCGTCTTCGGGCGATTTTGCAGAGCCCCCGGCGCCACGGCATGACCCCGGCGGCCCTCCGTCCGAAGGCCCCGTCCCGGGCCCCGCGGCAAGGCGTCCCTGGGCCGTCTCGGCGCCCTCGCGGGAGCCTGTTGGGGCGATATTCGGGTGTCCGGGACCTGCTTGGAGCGTCGGGAAGCTGAGCAGGCAGAAACGCTGAAATGCGCCAAAAACCTTAGGATAATCAATGGTTTTGACTTCTTGGGGCCCTTTTGGGGGTGCTCTTGGGGATCCCGTAGGCCGTGTTGGAAACCTTGTGGGCCATCTGGAGGCCATCGTGGGTGTGTTGGAATGATATGTCCGAGTTTTGGGGCCTCTTGAAGGCCTCTTGCGGTCCTTTTCAACAAAGTTGGGGTTTTCTTGGGCCGTCTGGGAGCGGCCCTGGGCCGTCTCGGCGCCCCCGTAGAAGCCTGTTTGGACGATATCTGAATGTCCTGGACCGTCTTGGAGCGTCGGCAAGCCAGACAAGCCGAACAGGCAGAACCGAAGGAAAATCAATGACTTGGGCTTCTTGGGACGCTTTTGGAAGTGCTCTTGGGAGCCCCTTGGGCCGTGTGGGAAGCCTTTCGGGCCATCTTGAGGTCATCTTGAGATCGATAGTTCTGCGATGCTGTAGGCCTCTTGGAGGCCTCTCGCGGCCCGTTTCAAATGTGTTGGAGCTGTCTTGGGAAGACTGGGGGCGTTCCTGGCGGTCCGGTCCTCCCATGGCGAGTCGGGGGCCCCCTCCCGGGCCCTCCCGCCTCGTGCGCAGGGGTATATATATACAGATATAGACAGATATAGATAGATAGAGGGAGAGAGAGAGAGAGAGAGATCCACACACACACATGTGTATATATGTATATAGATACGCATGTATATATATATACATATATATATATATGTATATATACGTACACACATACATACATACATACATACATACATACATACATACATACATGCATGCATGCATGCATGCATGCATACATACATACATACATACATACATACATACATGCATACATGCATACATGCATACATGCATACATGCATACATACATACATACATGCATGCATGCATGCATGCATGCATGCATATATAGAGGGTAACTTAGATGACAGAGAAGCACCCCGAAGCTGCAACGCAATCAGAAGTCACAGAGTTTGGCAGTGTCCCGAACAGACTGCGCGCGCAGGGGACACCGACGACGGAAACCGGCCCGCGCTGGAAACTCTGAATCCACCACATGCGGACATGCTTTTGAGACGCATCGTTGACTTCCGCTGGCTTCCGCGGACCTTCCGCCGCGGAGGCTCTATTTCCGACGGTCTTCCGCCGAGGAAGACGGGCCGACCTCTCAGCCCATCGACTGCGCAGCCTCGCCTGGAGCGCCGGAGCTCCTGTTGATCTTCGCCCCCCTCTTCCCATCCCCACTTCGGACCTCCCGAAGAGCCCATCGTTGAGCAGGGACCGACCGTCCCGGTATTCCCATAGTCCTACCACGAAATGTTCGCAGAATCCAAACATGCTCTGAGAACCAAAGCACGGTTGTTGGAACATAAGCCCGATGTGCTAAAACAGCACAGCCCCAGCCAGAAACGTTCTAAGAGCATGTCGTGGAAACCACAAAATGGTTCTTAGAACACTGCTTGGTAGGACTATCGGCGGGGCTCTGGGATGCAGTCGAGGTGCTGCGAGAAGGAACGCTCGGGCGGGTGGTATGAAGGGGCCCTGGGACACACAAATAAATACACACAAATAACTGGATTCCCCATATTATATTTTCTGAGTTTTTGTCTTCCCCCCCACTTCCCATATGTTTTCCCATATTTTCTGGGGAATCGACGATTAACAGTGTCTGTGCGTTTTTTTCCCTCCTGATGGTAGTGGGGGGGACCTGCACGGGGGGTGAAGGAAAGGGCCCCAAAGAGACACCTTCGGGCCCCTCTTGGGGTCCAGCAGGGGCCCTTTCGGGCCCCTTTTGGAGAGAGCGAAAGAGAGAGGGAGAGAGAGAGCGAGAAAGAGAGAGAGAGAGAGAGAGACAGAGAGAGCGAGAGAGGGATAGAGAAGCAAACAACAACAAAAAAGCCAAGGAACGGAAATCCACCCAAAAAGCCCGGGAACCTCCAGAAGAGGAGTCGGCCCAAAAGGAGCACCTTTAGGGCCCTTCCGTCACCCCCCATGTGGTTTATCCCCCATTACCATTAGGTCGGGCATGTCCCCCTAGGCCCTACATGCGGATTTTGGACGAAAAATAAAACACACCCCAACCATGCTCAAAAATGATGGAACAAGATTCGAAGAATCGTCCCCAGACATGTTTGTACTATTTTTGAATACTCCTCCTGGAGAGGGACACGCCCGACTTAACATTGCCACCCGCCCGGCCGAAGAGCCCATCGGCTCGGCGGGCTCGGGGAGGTGCGAGGAGGAGGAGGAGGAGCAGGAGCAGGAGGAGGAGGAGGCGGAGGAGGGGCAGGAGGAGGAGGAGGAGAGGGATACCCTCGAGGTGCGACCAGAAGGGACGCGATACGAGGAACGAGCAGGGGCCTCTCCAGCCACGGTGGGCCTCAGGTCAAACAGACCCCGCGGCTGTGACCTCCTCGACTGCGACCTCGTCCTCGTCCTCGTCCTCGTCGTCGTCGTCCTCACCCTCCTCCTCGTCCCCGGCTCTGACCTCGCCCTCGCCCTCCCCCTCGTCGTCGTCGCAGTTCGGGAGCCGGCGCCGCGCGCGTCGGGGCTGGGCGGCGGCCCTCTGCCCGCGCCGGCCCGACGCGCTGGGCGGCCACGGCGCGTGCAGCGAGCGGCGCCCGCCAACCCCGAGGGCCCCCCTTCCGAACCCCGGGCGGGCCTCCCTTCTCTAGGACGACAAGAATCTCTTGACGAGGAGGTGGAGGAGAAAGGAGGAGGAGGGATGGAGGGGATGTTCCTCTATCCTCTCCTCTTCTCTCCTCCCCCCTCTTCCTCTCCACTCCCCCCCTCTCCTCTCTTCTTCTCTCCTCTCCCCTCGTCTCCTTTGTTCTATTGACACAACGTGCTATTGATACGTTGCGGAGATTCCGGGATTTCTAGCCGCCTTCGCGCGGCGTGCACTTCGCCGACGGCGCAGCCCAGGCGCCGAAGGCTTCGGCGTCTGGGCTGCACCCCCGGGAGGCCCCGGCCCTTGAGGCGCGGCGACGACCAGGGAGCGCCACTCGAGCCCCGAAGCGCTCGCTCGCTCCAGCAGGGCCCGCGGCAGAGACCCAGGGAGCGGCCCGAAGCCTGGGGCCCCTTCTGAAGCCGAAGCGGCGGGCCCGATTCCACCGTCTGGGCTGCACCCTTCGGTCGGGCATGTCCTCCTGCAGGCGGATTCTGGGCGAAACATAGAACATCATCAAAACAAATATCCAAACATGGTCAAACAAAATCGTCCCCTGACGATCTTTTACGTATCCTTGAACAGTAGAGCAACATGCCCGACTTAACTGTGCCCCTGGAGGTCCTGACCCTCAAGACGTGGTGCCAAACAGTATAAGACGAAGCCAGGACGAGGATAAATTTGGGTTCGGATGCATCGAGAATCTCTGAGTTTCTGCGGCTCTGGAGGCTGTCTCGGGCGCCGCCGCCTTCTCAGAGCGTTCCAGAACGCTCCGAGCGCGTTCCGGAACGCTCTGGAACGGATCTATCCTCGCCCTGGTCCCGCCCGGCGAGCCCATCCCGAACCCAAATCGGTCCTTGTTTCAGCGTCTTGGCTGCACCCCTGGAGACCCTGACCCTTAAGACGCGATGGCAACCAATGAGCTCCACTCGAACCCCGATGGACGAGCGCGCTCCTCTGTCAGGGGAACGTAAGACCTGGGTACAGGGGACTCGGAAATTCCCGACGAGGTCGTCAAAAAAATGACGAGGCCGAGCCTGCATTTTGACGAGGCCTCCCGCTGCAGACATCCCACGAAACTCCTCCTCGTCAAAATCCGAAGCGCGGTCGTCAAAAAACGATGGCGAACCCGAGTCCTGGCAAACCCGGGTCTTACGCTCCCCCGACTCTGCTCGCAAAGTGACTACTCCCGGCGCGCGCCCCTGGCGCGCTCCGCGCGCCAGGGAGGGGGGCCCAGCGCCGGTCCGAGAAAAAGCCGCGCGGGCCTCAGAGTTTTTATATGTTTATGCCGCTGGCTGGGATCCCAAAGCCCTCCTCCTCCTCCTCCTCCTCCTCCTCCTTCTCCTCTTCCTCCTCCTCCTCCTCCTCCTCCTCCTCCTCCTCCTCCTCCTCCGTGTGGTGACAGACCGTGCGGTGACCTCGGAACCCCAAGAGACCTCACCGCACGGTCCGTCACCGCACGGTCTTGGGACCCTGGAGGCCCCTGTCCCCCCGACGTCCTCGGAGATGGACTCGAGTCCCAGAGCCGTGCGGTGACCCCGAGTCCCCGCCGACTCACCACACGGTGCGGTCACCGCACCGCCTGGGGGCCCCCGACGGACGCACGGGCGCAAGGGGAGCCAGCCGGAGGGAGACGTGAGCGGGGTGTGCACCGACAGGAGTGCGGGGCCGTCCTCCTTTCTCAGCGCCGCCCTCAGCTCGGCTGGCATGATCTCGGGGTCGCCCTCGCGCCACGACCACTCCACCTCCGGAGGAACGGGCATGATGTCCGTCGTCGCCCCAAGAGGAAATCCCCGGGGCATGAATGAAGGATTCCCCTCTTCCCATACTTTCTGTGTTTTTGCCTCCCCCCACTTCCCCCCACTTCCCATACTTTCCCATATTTTCTGGGGAATCGACGATTCATGGTGTCTGTGTGTGTCTTCCCCTCCTGAATGAATCGCGTGCCCACGAAAAATCGGAGCTCTGAAGTCCTGGGCCGCGGGACGTGTCTCGAAGCCCGTCGCGGGCGACGGAGCTCGCACTTCTGATTGCACCCCTGGTATCCCGACGCAGCGAGCACGCCGCACAGCGGCTGACCACAGCATCTCTTCGGCCGCGGCCCTCAACCGGGATTCTCCTCCGCCTCCACCTCGCCCTCCTCTTGGGGTTCAGTGGGACCTGGTTTAGTGATGAGTACTGGGGGACGCCCTCCGGCCCCGTCCACTCACCGGAAGTGCCATCACACGAAAAAACACCAGCTACGGCAGACCTGGTTTAGTGAACCTGGCCAACTTGAGGTTTCCAGGGCCCGACCATGACCCGGTTCCCCTCACCTGGGGTCCTGGCTATACCCAACCTCTGCCCCTCTGCCTTCGGGGATCTCCTGACCTGGGTCAACCCAGACCCGGGTCAGCCAGGGCGTGCAGAATCCTGCAAAATCCTGCAAGACCCTGCACCCAAACCCGGGTCAATGCGGAGGATCCTGCAAGATCCTGCAGGGTCCTGCACCCAAACCCGGGTCAATGGGAGCCTGGCCCTGCAGGTTCCTGCAAGATCTGGCGCTCTGGCTGACCCCCGTTTGCGTTGACCCCCGTCTCAAAGCTCCCGATGCCTGCCTGGCCCCACCCGCCGGCATCCCTAGAAGGGCGGGGCCGCACCCCTCGGCAGCTCCGGGGCGGGCGTGGGGCTCGGCGACAGGCAGCGTGGTGCGGCCGGTGGGCGCGCGCGGCGGGCGGAGGGCACGCGCGGTGGCTCCGCCGGCGCGGGGCGGAGACGGAGGTGAGGGGCAACGAGAAAGGGGGGGATACAGTCATCGGCCTGACCTAAGGAACGATAAATGAGGAACGAGGCCCCTTTTTTTTATCCAAAGGAATAACGCACAGAGGAACGGTAAATAACAAATAACGCATAAGGAACTGTAGATGACGCGTGCAAGCCTAAGGAACGACCGAGCCCCTTTTGAAAAGTAAGTGTTCTTTATTCAAGCAGCCCACTGTAAGCATAGGGGGGGGTGCATCGACCAGAATCGGCGATGCATCGCCGATAGATCGTCGATAGGCCCCCGATGGCGAATCCGCTGCCCGGGCGGGTTGGGGCTATCGGGCCCCCTATCGGCGATCAGTGGGCGACTGGGGGTCGCTGCATCCCGCCCTACGCCTATCCCCCCCTATCGCTGCCCCCGAGTTTGGGGAGCGACAGCGAGGCGGATATCGGAGGAGAAACACGCACCACCACCACTGAGAATCTGGCAGCGGTCGGAGGAGGCAAAGGTACCCGTACCCCTGCCCCTCCCTCGTTTTCCCACTCTTGGGGCCTCCTGGGAGGCCCTCGTCGCCGCCGCTGCACTCGCCTCAAAAATTCGAGTCGGAACGCACCCCGGGGGAGGTCTGGGGAGTAGCGGCATCAGTACCTTTTGGTTCTTCTAACTGGGGGTCGACGCCTGGGCGGAGGCACGCCCGAGCGTCATCCCGATGCAAGGTGACGCTCGGGCGTGCCGCCGCCCCGGTCCCTCACGGATGCGTTCTCGGCTTAACTGCCCCGGTATGGCAGGCCCAGGGGTTGACACCAACACCAAAATTGGCGGCGTGCCTCAACCGAGGAGAGATGATGTCGATTTCGGCGATGGTGGTAATCCTCTGGCTTCCTAGGCAGCCGAAATATTGCCACCAACACCGGAATCGATGATCCTCTTCCCCCGGTGGGCACGACCCCCTGTTTTGGTGTTGGTGCCAATTTCGAAGCCCCCAACGATACGCAACACGCAACATGTAGCGTACGGGATACGGAGCTCAACGCGTAGACTGAAACGTGGGTCTGAAGCGATACGTTCGCCAAACGATGGGCCAACACGTTGAGCCAGGACGCAGCGTATTGACACGGACGTTTTGAAGACGATACGGGTTGCGTATGAAAAAACAGGCGTATCCAAGCAGCTAAAGTTCTCGGCGGCGGCGGTCCATGCTCCTCCTCTGAAGAGATCCGCCAAAACGTGGGCCAATACGTTGAGCCATCACGCAACGTACTGACACGGACGTTTTAAGCACACTACGTGTTGCGTATCAAGGCGCGCATATCGAGACAACTCAGGATGGGTCGTAGGCCCCGGATCTGACCGAAACCGGCGGGGTGCCTGTAAACGCCGACCGCAACAACCCCAAGGCGGTTGAAATCGATCCCCCTTCCCTAAAAAGGGGCCCTGGGACACAGAAGTATCAATAGACACACGTAACAGGGTTCTCCCCATGTTACCAAATCTTCTAGATTTTAGTCCCCCCCTTCCTATGTTTTCACATGTCTTCCTGGGGACCGACGATCCAATGTGTCTGTGTGTTTTCCCCCTCCTGGTTCCCAGCAGCGCCCACACAGACAACGTCCAGCGCCAGAGACGCGTCTCTCCCCCCAGCTCCACACACAGAGGCCTCCCGGATGGGGTCCGAGTTGATGGGGCGAAAGACCGCGCCGCATCACCTATGCATCGCAAGTGCCTCGCCGATGTATCGGCGATGCATCGGCGACGTCGGCGATGCATCAGCGACGCCGGCGTGGGGAAACACGGGTTCCACATCGAGCCGCATCGGCGATGCATCGGCGATGCGGCGCGATCTTGCGACCCCATCTACTCCGATCCCCATTTAGGTCCAGAGCACATATATCCGCCGGCCCCCTTGTGGGGCCACCAGGCTGTATGCGCGGGATTCGCAGTGTCCTGTACCAGTTGTAGCTTGTAGTTTCCAATGTTACAGTTCTGCTTATTGCTGGTTATTGTAACTAGTTGATTGACCGCGCGAGGGGGGGGGAGGCCCAAACCAGATATTTAGACATCCTGGGCGCGTTGTTTGAATTGCTGGGGGGGCTCGAATCGACACCCCTCACACAGATCGGCGGGGTCAGGGTCCAAAAAACACAGGGGATTTGCCACATTTCTGAAATTCGGTGCCGCCCCTCACGCAGATCCGCGGGGTCAGGGTCCAAAAACACAAAGGATTTGCTACATTTCTGAAATTCGGTGCCACCCCTCACGCAGATCCGCGGGGTCAGGGTCAAAAAAACAGGGGATTTGCCACATTTCTGAAATTCGGTGCCACCCCTCACGCAGATCCGCGGGGTCAGGGTCAAACAACACAAGGGATTTGCCACATTTCTGACATTCGGTGCCACCCCTCACGCAGATCCGCGGGGTCAGGGTCCAAAAGCAAATGGGATTTGCCACATTCCTGAAATTCGGTGCCGCCCCTCACGCAGATCCGCGGGGTCAGGGTCCAAAAACACAGGGGATTTGCCAAAATTCGGTGCCACCCCTCACGCAGATCCGCGGGGTCAGGGTCCAAAAGCAAATGGAATTTGCCACATTTCTGAAATTCGGTGCCACCCCTCACGCAAATCCGCGGGGTCAGGGCCCAAAAACACATGGGATTTGTCACATTTCTGAAATTCGGTGCCACCCCTCACGCAGATCCGCGGGGTCAGGGTAAACAAACACAAGGGATTTGCCACATTCTTGAAATTCGGTGCCACCCCTCACGCAGATCCGCGGGGTCAGGGTCCAAAAACACAGGGGACTTGCTACATCTCTGGAATTCGGTGCCGCCCCTCACGCACATCCATCGCAAGGCGTGGTAACCCAAACTGCGAGAACTCCCTCGGCCCTTTAATCGCAAGGTGTGGTAACCAAGCCCGTAAACCATACACGTCTTACCAATCGCCAGGTGTGGTAACCCCTCTTGTGATCAGTTGGTTTTGCTGATTGCGAATCGGCTTCGCATGAAGTTTCGATACTGCTTCACGACAGCGCCAAGGCCTCATGACTTAGCTCTTCCATGGCCCATTCTCCGAGAGAGGGGGCCGGCGGCAGGGGGCGAAGCCCTTACGGATATATATATATATATATATATATATATATATATACGTATATATATAAGCACTATATATAAGCACACATATATATATACACATATATTTACATACATACATACAGATACGCCCCCACACACACACACACACGAAGCGCGCTTGGGAGCGGCGCCGAGGGGTCCAGCCCCCGCAAAAATCCACTGCCCACGCAGGCCCGAAGGCTCGCATCACTCGAGGGCTGCTCTGGCCTCCCGCGCCCCCTTCCGCTCCGCGGGTCCTCCTCCCCCCCCCGACGTCCGAGGTCCTGGCCTGTGGTTGCGCGTGCCTCGAGAGCGGCCTCGAGGTTTTCGCGCTCTCCCTCCGCGAGCTGTGCGTATCCCTCAGTGCCCGAGGATGGAGGCAATGGGCCATCCACAGATACCAGGTGGAGCCACTTGTTGCCCGCGTGGGGCGGGGCCGCAGGGCTGTCCCCTCCGCCCCTGGGGCGGGGGGGGGGAGCGCACGCGATCCCGCAGCGGTTCCCGACGGTCCCGGCCGAGCCGGGAGGCGGCCCCCTGAGGAAGAGCACTGCCCACAGCTCCGCGCCACGCCCGTCGGTCGGAGGAGGTGGGCAAACATGAGGCAGGAGGGCGCTGGGGGGCAGATTGCTTTTTTCTCTCCTTCCTCGCAGCAGGCGCGCCCCGCCCCCAGAAGTGGAGGGAGAGGGAGACAACCGCCCGTCTCTGGAAGCGGAAGGCGCGATCGAAGCAGATTGGGATCTGGGGATCCAAGAGTGCCTGCTTTCAACCACCGACGGGTATTCCCTGTAAGACGTTGGGTGCCTGGGCCCCCCTCCTCCCCTGGAAGGAACCGACTCGAGCCTCGTGCCACAGGCCCGGGTACTGCACGTAGGCCAGCCGGCTGGCCCACAGCGAGCTCATGTTCAGCTGGCTGCCAGGCAAGGCCAAGGAGGGTCACCACCAGGGTTACGTCGGGCGTGTCCTCCTACAGAGAGTTTGGAACAAATGCTCCAAACATAATCACACATCATTTATCACTGATCTAAAACTCGTCCTCTGACTATGTTTTGACCACTCATGAACATGTCTCCTGTAGAGGGACAAACCCGACTTAACACGAGGGGGGTCGCCACCTCCTCGAGGCATGGCACCCCTCGAATCCTCCGAGCCCACCAGGATGCCTCCAGGCGCCCAAACTCGTACAAACACCTCCTGGATCCGATCCTCGACCCTCGAGTTAAGTCGGGCATGTCCCCTTACAGGCGAAGATTCAAAAATAGTCAAATAGTCTGGGTCCGAGTTCGCTATGTTTTTTTGAATCTGTTTGACCATTCTGGGGGTATTCTTTGTTTTTCGTCCAAAAATCCGCCTGTAGGGGGACATGCCCGACCTGACCCTCGAGCCCCGATCCTCAGACGGAGCTGGCGACTTCCCTGGTGGTCCCCCCCTCCCTTGGCACTGCCGGAGGCTGGCGAGCTCGAGCAGGTCGCCGGGGGGCATGTCCGCGAGGAGCGGGTCGGCGCCGCGCGCGCAGCGCTTCCAGCTGACAGCGCGGCCGCCGAGGCCGAAGAAGCTGTACGTGTCTGCGAGCGGGCTGCCGCCGTTGAGGGAGCGGCAGTCGCTGGAGACGTAGCACCAGCTGCTTCCTCTGGGGAGGAGGAGGAGGAGGAGGAGGAGGAGGAGGAGGAGGAGGAGGAGGAGGAGGAGGAGGAGGAGGAGGAGGAGGAGGAGGAGGAGGAGGGAGGAGGAGGAGGAGGAGGAGGAGGAGGAGAAGGCAGTGAGGCATCTTGAAGTCGGGCCTCTGAGGGCGCTCCCGCCGACGAGCTCCGAGCTGCCTCGGGTGCCCCCCGCACTTCCTGTGGTAGAGGTATTACTCTTAAGCTTCCAGCAATAACTTTCAAAGGGAAGCTCTACGAGTTAAGCTCTCCTGGCGAGCCGTCGAACGCTGTCGTGAAGCGCTTCTGCGGCTCTGGGGGGCTCCCCTGCAGCGCTTCTGACGCGCTGCCAAGAACGCTTCCTCGCGTGCTGCTGACACACACACACACACATGTCTCTGCGGGGCACCTGCTCGCAGGCAGGTTTCTCATCTGATGCACCTTCTTGTCAGGAGGCCCTGACGGCTTCGGGGCGAAGACGGGGCCTCTTCCGGCAGAAGTGGGCAAGGCGTCGGGCCGGGAGAGGCCCGAGAAAGTGTCATACGAACTAGTGGGCGGGATGAGGCCGCGGCTGATCTGGCACGGCAGCTGTCTGAGCGACCCCTGGTGATTCTTCGGGGAGGCGGGGAAAGACTCGCGCCCAAACGCCCGCAAGTCGAGCACCTTCCAGAGGCATCCTCATCCTCAGCCGTTCGAAGCACAAGAAGGAGCCTCCTGGAAGGTCCGTGCCGTCCGTCGTTCGCTTGACGGCGAAACTATCAGCGACCCGAACTTCGAAGCTGTTCATCTTATTTTTGATGTTTACACATCCAGAAGATGATCTCAAATGACACAGACTAAGCCCCTGATGCACTAAAAGCTCAGGCGAGCCGCCCCCCCCCCCCTCCCCCCAACCACCGAGGCCCCCCGCAAGGGTCGTCAAGAAGAGGCACCGCCACAACGGACTTTGCCACGGGAAGGGCCCTCCCATCCGATGCCGCATTTTTGTTCGTGGCGTGGGCCCCCGAGGATCTCGACCCCTCCGGAAGGGGCCCTGGGACACGCAAATGAAGACACACAAATCAAAGGATTCCCCATATTTTCCTACTTGTATTTTCTGGGTTTCTGTCTTCCCCCCCAACTTCCCATATTTTCCCATATTTTCTGGGAAATGGACGATTAATTGTGTCTGTGTGTTTTTTCCCCTCCTGAAGCTCTTCACCCTGGGCCGTTTGTGACGGTCCTGGGGCCGGCAAGCGGCCTCCGGAGCACGGAGCAGGCAGAAATTCATCCGTCCGTCGCGATTCCTTCGGGGGGGCCTGGAGATCGGAGTGGAAATTCGGATCCCGCCCTGCCAGGAGGCACCTCCGCCTCGCGGGGGCCCACGCGAGCTGAAGGAGGACCCCGAGTGCGACTGGTAGCGGGTTTCAGGGGATCTGCTTGTGCAGTTTGCGGCGCTGGAGGAAGACGAGGAGGAGGACCAGAGGAAGTCCAGGATGCACCAACGAGGCTACAATACAACCTCGCGTCCCAAGTCCCGTCCTCACCACAAGTTCCTGCACGGCTCCTGTAGGAGGAGGAGGAGGAGGAGAAGGAGGAGGTGGACGCAACAAGATACAATCTTCACGTGCGAGCAATGTCAAGAAAGAGGAGGAGGAGGAGGAGGAGGAGGAGGAGGAGGAGGAAGCTGGTCCTGGATCTGGGGGCTTTCTCCAGGACCCGGCCTCTCGCCTCGCGCAGCTGCTGGAGGCGGTGCCGGGTGCCTGGAGAGGACCACCGCGGCTGGCGGAGACGACCCCCGCGGGCCTGCCCTGTCCAAGGGGTGTGCGTCCATGTCGTACGGTGAGGGCATGTTTTTGTTCCTTCGAGGGCCGAAACCCGTGCGAAAAGCGAATTCCAAACGCAGCGCCGACTTCACAGCGCAAGTACTCCGGATTTCGTAATAAAAGGGAGGGGGTCTGGACCCTCCAAGACAAGCCAATTCAGACCTCCCCCGTGGGAGAACCCTCCAAAACATCGTCCCCAGACCCCCCCGGCCCTCCAAGGTAGCCTGGAAAAGACCCCCCCCGAAATGAGACCCCCCTCCCTTTATTACGAAATCTGGAGCACGCGCCCGCGGCGCACCCCAGGACCACCCCAGGGGAGCGCGACCGACCCCACGAGCAGCGCGGCCCTGCACACCCGGTCGCTCCGCGCAGCCTGCGCCCGCGTCGGCCGCCCGCGCAGGCCGCGCAGCACCTGGATCGGGAGGCCGCCTCTAGGTGTAAGGACTCCGGGGTCTCGAAGCCGGGTGAAGCTCCGAGCGTGGAGCGGCCATGGCTCCTCCGATGAGGAATCCCCCAGGGTCTGAAGCCTCTTGGGCCTCCTCCTCCTCCTCCTGCTCCTCCTGCTTCTCCTCCTCCTCCTCCTCCTCCTCCTCCTCCTCCTAGCCCTTTCGATCAGGGTCGGCGGCACCGGCCGTCAGGCCTCTCCAATCCCCCAGGGTCTGAAGCCTCTTCGGCCCATTCCTCAACGGATGCCCCCACCGTGCTTGGACGCCCGAGATCGGTACCGAGACGGTGGGAGCCCGCCGGTCGTCAGAAGTGGGTAGACACATGGAGCAGGCGGGTGCCGAGAGTAGATTGGACATCCGCCCCCCCCCCCCGAAGAGGAGGGAAGAGGGAACACCGCTCCCCCTCCAAGTAGAGAGGCGCCTGAAGTAGACTGGGACCTGGGCAGCCCAAGAGACCCGATGTCAACGACCGACGTGCAAAATACACAGCAAGAAATATTGTCCAACATCGGCAGCGGCTGCTGTTGGGAAGAGAAGAGTTTGTCTCAGATGGACAACGACCCTGGCGAAACCGACAGGGAACCCTGTTCAGAATGAAGGGGAAATGCTGTCGGTCTTCGTGCCTATTTGTTCGTGCCCACTTCGGTCGTACCGATCGTAGGTCGAAGGGGCTTCGCATTTGCCTTCCACACCTGGCCCTGCATCAATTCGTCGAATCTTGCCGATATCGGGCGTGGGAGCCAAATGCCCCAGACCTCCAGTGCCTTGAAAAACTCAAGGCGCCGCGGGGCACCTTTGGGCACCGTCAGCAAAAAATGTTCTCAGAATGAGAAGCTGGCCCTTGGGACGGGGTCCGAGCTTCTATGGGTCACCAGCGGAGGTCCCTGGGGAAACCAAAAGGTACGGATACCGCTACTCCCCAGACCTCTCGGGGTGCGTCCTGACCAGAATTTCGAGGCGAATCCAGCGGTGGGGACGAAGGCCTCCCGAGAGTCCCCAAACGAGGGAAAACAAAGCAAGGGTAGCGGCATCGGTACCTTTTCCTCCTCTGGGGGACTCGTGGTGTCGCTCGTGGTTGTTTGCCGCGCCTGCCGAGAGAAGTCGCCCAAGCCTTCCATGGCGGGGCACGGTGCCAGCCTGTGCACTTGCTGGCCGGGGACTTCGCCGGTCGTCTTAGAGGCCAGCTCGGGTCCTGGCAGTCCCGCTCGCCCGTGCGGGTGCACCGCCACGTTGACGCAGCGGTCGGTGTCCTCGGGAGAGGGGGCAAGTCATTTCTCAGGGGATCTGTCGACCCCTATCCCAGGCTTCGTGGGGTTTCTGAGTAGACTCGAACCTTTGGGCCCAACCCTATAGGATATGGGGGGGCGTCCATCCTCGATAGGGGTGCATCCGAATAGCCCCCTTGTGATGTATCCCAAGGTTTCCACCTTTTCCTGAGCGACCAAAAACTTTTCGGGCGGAATCCGGGGATTGAGGAGAAAAAACGCCTGTGCACTCGCCCAATCTGGGTCCAGACCGTGGTGGATGTGGCCGTGACCCCACCAGGATGTCGACCCACTGTCGGCCTGTCTTCGTAATCCGACGAGGCGAATACAGACGTCTGGCGCTAGGAAGAAAATCGAAACGTTTTGGCCTCTGGAGGCCAGATTCGGGCCTCGGAACCGAATTCGGGCCTCGGAACATTGAAACAACTGCTCGCGACGACAAGCCGGCCCCGGGGAGGGGGTCGAGAGGTCAATGAGCCCACGCATCGAACAAATCGAAGCGCCGGACGTCCGAGAATGAACGTCTGGAAAGGACCAGCAGTGCACGACGTCTGAAAAGGAACGCCTGAGAAGGAACCACGACGTCTGAGAAGGAACCACGACGACGCGCGGGGACTCCCCCCTCCTCCCACGGTGCAGCGGTGGGCACCCCGAGGTGCTCGGCCCCGCCCCAGAGGGGGCCAGCTTTTCACCCCGAGCCATGTTCTCACAGCCCCCGGGGGCCCAAGATGAAGGGAAACTGGGACACACAAATAAATACACACAAATCAAATAATTCCCCATATTTTCCCATATTTTCTGGGTTTCTGTCTTCCCCCCACTTCCCATATTTTCCCATATTTTCCTGGGAATCGAGGATTAATTGTGTCTGTGTGTTTTTTTCCCTCCTGAAAGAGGAACGGCACTGGAGGAACCCAAGGAACGTCGAGCCCCTTCCAGACCCAAACTGTTCCTCATGTCAGCGTCTTGACTGTACATGCAAAGGCATTCCGCCGCGAACCGTGCAGAGCGCGCGCGGGGGAGCCCTGGGGCCTCTGCGCGGGACCCGCATGCCGCCCCCAGCGGGCCATCTCCTCGCTGGCGGGCCGCGGAGCCGTCCCTCGTCGCTGTCGCCGTCGCCGTCGCCGTCGTCGTAACCGTCGCCGTCGCCGCCGCCGCCGCCATCGTCCTCGTCCTCGTCCTCGTCGTCGTCGTCCTCGTCCTCGTCCTCGTCCTCGTCGTCGTCCTCGTCGTCGTCGTCGTCCTCGTCGTCGTCGTCGTCGTCCTCGTCCTCGTCGTCGTCGTCGTCGTCGTCGTCGTCGTCGTCGTCGTCGTCGTCGCCGGTCGAGCCGCAGACGGAGCCGCGAAGGCCTCCCCGTGCGCCTTGCTGGGCGGCGGCGCGGAGGCCCCCGCGCGGCCTCCCCCCGGAGGGCGGCGCGGCGGGCGCGGAGGCCCCGCGGCGCGGCGCCTGCCCATCACCAGCCTCGAACCTATCCCTATCCCTAAGATTGACACGCCAAAAGCCGATAACAATCTTAGGGATTCGCCATCCAAAAATAAGGGGATCCCAAAGATTGGCATCGTGATGAGGAGGTGCCCAGCATAGGGATAGGGATATGTTCCAGGCTGGTGAGCCTGCCCAGGCTCCGGCGCCGCGGCTTCTTCCGCGCGTGGCCCCTACGTGTCCTCCCCAGGGTCAGGTCGGGCACGTCCCCCTGCAGACGGATTGTGGGCGAAAAAAAAGAAACGCTCAAAACATGTTATCCAAAATATGCCAAAACAGTCAAACAAATGGTCTCCATCTAATGTTTGGGTTATTTTTTGACATCCCGCCTGTAGAGGGACATGCCCGACCTGACCCCAGGGAGCAGGCACGCCACCCTCATGAAAAGCACCCCGACAAGCGAAGCCGCTTCTGCGCAAGCGCACCCAGGGCAGGACTCGGACAGGGCGGGGCTGTGCAGGAGTCGCTCTGGAAGGCCGCTCAGGAAGCGCCAATTCTCAGGGTCAGGGGTGGCTTCTCCTCCCTGAGCTCCTGGACCACCTCAGGCTTGGTAGTCCCCAAACGTGGTGGTGACAACACCTGGCGGTGAGTCTCGGGCGATTTGGCGTCACCACCCGGTTTGGGGACTCGTGCGGTTTTCCGAGGATGTCCCGGGCACTGGTGGGTCCAGGAGTCACAAAACCCGGCGGTGACCCCGCGTCCCCAAACCCAGCGGTGACCTTTTGGGGGATTCCAGGTCGCCACCTGGTATCTCACCACCTGGTTTGGGGGTTCCCAAACCTCGGACCGTGAGCAGACAAAGCAGCACACCACACGGCGTCTGACACTGCCCGGCCGCTGTGGGGGGGCCGTTCTGGGCACCACCGGGACCCTCGGGAGGCGGCTCGGGGTGACAAGGCCTGCCTCGGAGGAGGAGCAGGAGGAGGAAGAGGAGGAGGAGGAGGAGGAGGAGGAGGAGCTGTGGGAGCTGTGCATGAGCGACAACGAACGTCGCATCCCCGAAGGGAGCACTTAGGCGAATAAGTGCGACGGAACGGGACAAGGGCAAGTCGCCTGGCCCACTCGCGGCCGCCTTCCTTGAGGCGGTGTGCCGCTCCGGTGGTGCTGCGAGGAGGCGACTTTTTGAGCTTCCGGATGCTCCAATCCTCGCCTCTGGAGCGACACAGGTCCTGATACCACGGACCCCGCTGCGCCGACCCTGATCCTGCGGGCCGGCTACGCAGACCCAGGAGGGCAAACAAGTGCCACACCTGACATGAAAAAGAACGTGATGAGAGGGAGTCGAACCCTTCACCACGGAAAGCAACGGCCGCCTTCTTGTCTCCGCCGACTTGGGCCAGAACCCTGACAGTGTGCCCTCCGCTTAAGGTAGCGCCGGTGCCAGGATACGACACCGTGCCCCTGCGGAGGGCGAGGAGGAGGAGGAGGAGGAGGAGGAGGAGGAGGAGGAGGAGGAGGAGGAGGAGGAGGGGGAGGGGGAGGAGGAGAGGAGGCAGAAGAGGAGGAGGAGGAGGAGGAGGGAGGAGGAGGAGGAGGAGGAGGAGGAGGAGGAGGAGGGAGGAGGAGGAGGAGGAGGAGGCGGAGTAGACAGAAGGAGGACCGTCATGACGTCGAGGGCCTCGGCAAGCGGGCCCTCCCCTGAACTGGCGCTGCGCTCCAGGGTCGCTCACGGACGGCCCCGAGGGCTGGGGTCCGGGTTCGACAAGACACGCGCCAGGCCGACGTGGAGTCGAAGTGAGCACGGCGGTCGAGGGCAACGTTGCATATGGCGCTGGTGGGCACCGCACCATGTCACGGCACCGACCTTGCAGACGTGCTGCAGCGGATTCTTGCGTGGATTTGTTTCTGTCAAGGCAAAGCTCCGAAGCGGCGAGTGAAAAACGAAGTGAGTGTCACGTGGACTGTTTGTAGTCTTCATTCCTGGCCAAGAGACCTCCGCACGACGCTCACCTCGAAATCCGGAACGACATTCTCCAGGACACTCCGGGCCCACCCGATCGTTCTCCGAACGAGATCCGCTCTGCGATGTTGGCGACACGAGACCACGGCCCCCTCCCCCGCGTCCAGCTTCGTGAAGAACTCCGTGCAGATGGAAGCCCAGGCGGGGTTCTCGCGCTGGATCCACCGCGCGTCCCGCGCCTCGGTCGAGGCAGGGGCAGGGCGGAGGGAGACAGAGGGAGGGAAGCAGGAGCGCGAGGGGGAGGGTAGGCAGCGACGAGGAGGCAGAGGGAGGGAAGCAGGAGGGGTGGTGAAGAAGAGGGGGGGGGAGGCGCGAGGGGGAGGGTAGGCACGAGGAGGAAGAGGGAGGGAAGCAGGAGGGGTGGAGGGGAGCCCAAATCGGATCCTGCTCCCAAATCGGATCCTGCTCCCAGGAGGGGTGGAGGGGTGAAGGGGAGCCCAAATCGACCAGGGGGGGGGAAGCCCGCTCGCCCGAATCGGATCCTGCTTCCTGACCACTTCGCAAAGGCTGCGGTTCTCCTCCGAAGCCCGCGCAGCGTCAAAAAGGAAGAGGAGGAGCTCCTCTGTCCTCCTCCTCCTCCTCCTCCTCCTCCTCCTCCTCCTGTCCTACAGTTCCTCCTGCTTCTCCCGCTCCTTCTCCTCCCTCGACCTTCTTCTTGCCCTTCCCCCCCCCCCTTCCTGCCCCCCCCCCTCCCCCCCCTCTTCCCTCTCACTGGAGCCAGGCACGGGGCCCCCTGGAGGACGACGGGCCCAGGGCCCGCTCCTCCTCGCCCTCGGACGCCCCCCCCCCGCGGCCTGGGCAGGGCCCTCCGAAGGCCGAGGTCGGCCAAGGCTCTCGAGAGGCCCACCGAGGCCCCGCTCCTTCGCGGCCGCTCTCCGCCACGCGGGCGCCAACGCGAAGAGGCGGAGGAGGAGATCTCGGGGGCCCTGGGGACCCGGGAAGCTCCAGAGGTGATCGGGAAGGACCGAGGAGGAGGAGGAGGAGGAGGAGGAGGAGGAGGAGGAGGAGGAGGAGGAGGAGGAGGAGGCAGGAGGAAGAGGAGAAGGAGGAGGAGGAGGAGGAGGAGGAGGAGGGGAGGATCGAGGAGGAGAAGGAGGAGGAGGAGGGAGGAGGAGGAGGGAGGAGGACGAGGAGGAGGGGAGGAGGAGAAGAGGAGGAGGGGAGGAGGAGGAGGGGAGAAGGAAGAGGAGGAGGAGGAGGAGGAGGAGGAGGAGGAGGAGGAGGAGGAGGAGGACGATGAAGGCGTGGCCGAGGTTACAAGGGATCTGCTTGTGCAGTTGCCGGCCTTGGGTGACATGGAAGAGGAGGACCAGAGAAAGTCTAGGACGCATCAACAATGCTACAATACAACCTCGCGTCCCAAGTCCCGTCATCATCACAAGTCTCTGCAGGCCTCCCGTAGGAGGAGGACGAGGACGAGGAGAAGGAGGAGGAGGAGGAGGAGCAGCAGAACTTGGAGGAGGATGGGGATGAGAAGGACGGATGAGGACAACGGAGAAAGATATCTCGGAGGCCCCAGGGTGACAAGGAGGACGACGACGGCGTGGCCGAGATTTGAACGGATCTGCTTGTGCAGTTGGCGGCGTTAGACGAAATGGAGGAGGACCAACGGAAGTCGAGGATGCATCAACGATGCTGCAATACAACCTCGCGTCCCAAGCCCCGTCCTCACCACACGTCTCTGCAGGCCTCCCGTAAGGAGAGGAGGAAGAGGAGGAGGAGGAGGAGGAGGAAGAGAAGGAGGAGAGGAAGGAGGAGGAGGAGGAGGAGGAGGAGGAGGAGGAGGAGGAGGGGAGGAGGAGGAGGAGGAGAAGAACAAGAAAGAGAGTGGGGATGAGAAGGACCGATGAGGAAGACGGAGGAAGAGATCGCTGAGGCCCCAGGGACCTGGGCAGCTCCAGAGGTGATGGGAAGGACCGAGGAGGAGGAGGGGGAGGAGGAGGAGGAGGAGGAGGAGGAGGAGGAGGAGGAGGAGGAGGAGGACCAAGGAGGAGGAGGAGGAGGAGCAGAAGGAGGAGGAGGACCAAGGAGGAGGAAGAAGAGGAGGAGAAGAGGGAGGAGGATGACAACGACGGCGTGGCCGAGGTTTCAAAGGATCTGCTTGTGCAGTTGGCGGCGTTGGATGGAATGGAGGAGGATGACCAGAGGAAGTCTAGGATGCATCAATGATGCTACAATACAGCCTCGCGTCACAAGCCCCCTGTCCTCACCACAAGTCCCTGCAGGCCTCCCGAACGAGGAGGAGGAGGAGGACGACGGCGTGGCCGAGGTTACAAGGGATCTGCTTGTGCAGTTGCTGGCCTTGGGTGACATGGAGGAAAACCAGAAGAAGTCCAGGATGCATCAACGATGCTATAATACAACCTCGCGTCCCAAGTCCCGTCCTCACCACAAGTCTCTGCAGGCATCCCGTAGGAGGAGGAGGTGGAGGAGGAGGAAGAGGAGGAGAAGGATCAGGAGGAGGATGGATGGGGATGAGAAGGCCGGATGAGGACGACGGAGGAAGGTATTGCGGAGGCCGAAGAGGAGGAGAAGGACGAGGAGGAGTAGGACCAAGGAGGAGGAGGAGGAGGAGGAGGAGGAGGAGGACCAAGGAGGAGGAGGAGGGAGGAGGAAGAGAGGGAGGAGGAGGACGACGACGGCGTGGCCGAGATTTGATTGGATCTCTTGGGCAAGTAGCGGCGTCAGATGAAATGGAGAAGGAGGACAAGAGGAAGTCCAGGATGCATCAACGATGCTACAATACAGCCTCGCGTCCCAAGTCATGTCCTCACCACAGTCCTTGCCTCCCGCAGGAGGAAGAGGAGGAGGACTCAGGAGGAGGAGGAGAAGGAGGAGGACGACGAGGAGGAGAGGAGTAATCTATAAGGAAAACGAATGGAGGAGGAAAAGGAGGAAGAGGACGAGGAGGAGGGGGATGAGAAGGACGGATGAGGCCGACGGAGGACGATGCAGAGAAGAACGAAGAACTCCTCGCCGCCTCACCTGGGGCACTCGGCCGGACCCGGCCGGGGAGGAGGCGTCGCGAGGCGCAGGGCGCGAAGGCGGGGACGTTCGGCGCGCACTCGCGGCCTGTGCTCTGCACGCGTACTGCTTGGCGTGCTGGGCAGCACGTGCACGCAGATGTACGCAGATGTACGCAGAATACTTCGGGGGTACTAAAGTTTTTGACCATAAGATGAGAATTGCCTCGCTGGTCACGCGTGCCGCGGAGGACCGATCAGAATGCAAAGGTGCCTTGATGCGGATTCGCCAGCCTTTGCGGGCCCTCTGGGACGGCCAACCAGTGAACCGAGAGCGACCGCATTGGAGAAGGATGCCCAGGGTCTCACAGCATCAATGCAACAAGGAATACAATGAAACATCGCGTTGGCATGATCAGGACAGGGTCGATGGGGATGATGACACGGACGATCAAACGTGACCCGAGCGGAGTGGTTTACTGTGAATGGGTTCAAGTCGGAGTGTTTTCCGGCCCTATTGTACATGGGACGGAGTAATTATCACCCTGTTTTAAATATATATTATTATATTATTACAGGGTGAGAGCCCATCGGAGTCGAACCGCCGCCCGACCCAAAACATGTCGCTAAGATTCTACCGGGGGGGCAGAGGGCGTCGGCAGCATGGCGTCTTATGGTCAAAACTATACTACCCCCCGTGCGGACTTTTCTCACCTGCACGGCCAACGGCCAGGGCCCGAGAACCACCGTGATGGAGATGACGATGATGATTGGCGGCGGCGAGAACCCATTTGCCCTGCGGACTTTTCTCACCTGCGCGGCCAACGGCCAGGGCCCGAGAACCACCGTGATGGAGATGACGATGATGATTGGCGGCGGCGAGAACCCATTTTGCCCTGCGGACTTTTCTCACCTGCACGGCCAACGGCCAGGGCCCGAGAACCACCGTGATGGAGATGACGATGATGATTGGCGGCGGCGAGAACCCATCTTGCCCTGCGGACTTTTCTCACCTGCGCGGCCAACTGCCAGGGCCCGAGAACCACCGTGATGGAGATGACGATGATGATTGGCGGCGGCGAGAACCCATCTTGCCCTGCGGACTTTTCTCACCTGCACGGCCAACGGCCAGGGCCCGAGAACCACCGTGATGGAGATGACGATGATGATTGGCGGCGGCGAGAACCCATTTTCCCCGCGGACTCTTCTCACCTGCACGCCCACGGCCAGGCCGAGACCACCGTGATGGAGATGACACGATGATGATTGGCGGCCCTGGCGAGAACCATTTGCCTTCGGGGGGTGTACTAAAGTTTTGACCATAGATGAGAATGCTCGCTGTGTGCACGCGTGCCGCGGAGGAACGATCAGGATGCAAAGGGTGCCTGATTTGCGATTCGCGAGCCTTTGTTGGCCCTCTGACGGCCAAACAGTGAAACCGAGAGAGACCGCATTGGAGAAGGGATGCCCAGGGTTTACAGAATCCAATGCAACAAGGAATACAATGAAACATCGCGTTGGCATGATCAGGACAGGGTCGATGGGGGCGATGACACGGACGATCAAACGTGACTCAAGCGGAGTGGTTTACTGTGATGGGTTCAAGTCGTAGTGTTTTCCGGCCCTATTGTACATGGGACGGAGTCATTATTCACTGTTTTAAATATATTATTATTTATATTCTTACAGGGTGAGAGCCCATCGGAGTCGAACCGCCGCCCGACCCAACACATGTCGCTAAGATTCTACGGGGGGGCAGGGGGCGTCGACAGCATGACGTCTTATGGTCAAAACTATAGTACCCCCCGTGCGGACTTTTCTCGCCTGCACGGCCAACGGCCAGGCCGAGACCCTACGTGATGAGCATGACGATGATGATGGCGGCGGCGAGAACCATCTTGCCCTGCGGACTCTTCTCCCTGCACGGCCAACGGCCAAGGCCCGAGAACACCGTGATGCGAGATGCACGAGTGCATGATGGCGGCGGCGAGAAACCCATATTTGCCTGCGGACTTTCTCACTGCCACGGCCAACGGCCAGGGCCCGAGAACCACGTGATGGAGATGACGATGATGTGGTTGGCGGCGGCGAGAACCAATGCTTGCCCTGCGGACTTTATCCACCGCACGGCCAACGGCCAGCGGCCGAGACGGCACCGTGATGGAGATGACGATGATGATTGGCGGCGGCGAGAACCCATTTGCCCTGCGGACTTT